TTAAAGTATATATATACATTTTCTCAGGCGTCACCACTGCTGCCTGGGCGGGCTCAGGGGTAAGCAGAGGGGAGGTGGGGCAGGGAGGAGGACGAGGCCACTCCCCTCCCCCCTGACAGGCGCGGCGGGGGAGGTGGAGGATGGAAACACCCTTCTAGGGCGATGAGGCCCTAAGCGGCCTGGGCAGCGGTGTCAGTGGCAGTGGCGGTGGTGGCAGCTTCGCGTCCTTGGGTTGCCTGTTCCCGGGGCGCCCCCGAGGGCAGCGGCCAGCAGCGTGCGGAAGAGGGATGCGCTGATGCTGAGCCTGAGCGAGCAGGTGGCCGCGGCGCCTCGGCCCTGCTGCGCCCCAAAGGCGCCCCTGGTGCGTCTCCTCCTCCCCCGTGGCCTGCTGGCCTCGCGGGGCCCGGGGCTGCTCAAGCTCGCCTCGCCAGGACTCCAACGCCTCCTCATCCAGTCCATCCGGCTGGTCACCACCACGCCCACGAGCAGGCCATCCTCACCCCCGAGGTGGCGGCCGAGGAGCAGGAACTCGCCCTGGAGGACTTCCCTGAGCAGAGCCAGCGGGGTGCGGGCGCGGGGGACCCTCGGGCATGGCCGTCGGTCTCTGCGGACGAACCTGAGCGGCTACGCGGGTACCTGGCACCGGGAGCGCAGGGCCGTGCCCTTCCCGCCGCCCCGCCTCGCCGCGCCCGAGAGAAGCTGCTGAAGCCCATCGGCATGGACGCTCCGGAGCGCATCAGAGCGCAGCGCCCGCGGCTACGCAACCGCATCGCTGCCTCGAAGGGTCGAAAGCGCAAGCTGGAGCGCATCTCGCGCCTCGAGGAAGTGAAGACGCTCAAGAGCCGGAACATGGAGGAGCCCGTCCGCAGTGGCGGCCCCAGCGCGGGTATCCGCGTCCTGAGCCCGGGCGCGGGGCGCATGCGCGGCCCCCTTCCCGCGAGAGGCGAGTTCGCGCGGGAGGGGGGGGGGGGAATGTGGGTTGCAGGGACCTGGCGAGGGCGTGGCCCCGGGGGCACCCTCGGACAGTGCCAGGATGTGGAAAGGGCGCCTTACAGTGGAAAAGCTGGAACCCCTGCTGCGGGGGTGGGGGTGGGAATGGGGGGCAGCGCATGACCCCCTCCTGCCCTCCCCTCAGGCTGCCTAATCTCTGCGGAAACCTGCGCGCCCGGATGCCCCTTTGTACACACCGCTGCTGAGGAGGGGTCCAAGGGGGCGCAGCCTGAACTCCTGCGTTGCCTTTTCTTTTATTACTTTTTTGCATTTGGAAGAGAGAACAGTGTTCAATTCTGCCCTATTTGTTTCTACTCGGGAACAAACGTTGGTGGTGGGCATGTGCGTGTTTAAAGAAATAGGAAGAAAACTACTCCTCCCTTGCTTTTTTTTTTGGTAAATATTATTTTTCAATGATGAGAGAGACTCATTGGCTGCTTCCTGCACAAATTCTACTGGGGGGGTCATCAAGCCCGCAACTCCGGCATGTGCCCTTTGCCAGAATCGAACCTCGGACCCTATAGTCCACAGGCTGACGCTCTATCCACTGAGCCAAACCAACTAGGTCCCTTTCCTTGCTTTCTGCCCCACCCCCTCTATTCTTCCAACACCCTTCCACCTTTTGCTTTTTTTATTTTTTTTTTTTTCTTCCCCTTTTCAGTTTTGTTTTGCTATGAGGAGACTACATTCCTGTTTGTAATATTTGGTTCGCCCAGTTTTCTGTCTTCAGTAAAGTCTCCTTATGCCAAAAAAAAAATTTCTCATCCATTTAATAAAACAGTAGAGACCTTTAAGAAGAGAGCTCAGTATGTGGGAATGCTAGGCTGAATAGCATTTAAAACATCTAGTGGAGAAAGATAAACTATAATTTAAAAAGATGATTCCTGCTCTCACACACAAAATAAAAAGTCAGAGGCCAGCTGCCATGACCATGAATAAAGTACATCGGAAGAGTGTGCATTAGGCTGAAACCAGTTTGGCTCAGTGGATAGAGCGTTGGCCTGCAGACTGAAGGGTCCCGGGTTTGATTCTGGTCAAGAGCATGTACCTGAGTTGTGGGCACATCCCCAGTGGGGGGTGGGGGGTGCAAGAGGCAGCTGATCGATGTTTCTCTCATCCATGTTTCTATCACTCTCTCTCTTCCTCTCTGTAAAATCAATAAAATATATAAAAAAGAAAAAAAAAGTAAGTGTGCATTAGACCAGCGATTGACAAACTTTTGTACTTCTGGATGGACTACTACTCCAAAAGTTTTCTTAAACCAGCAGTCGCCAACCTTTCAGAACTCATGGACCAGCAGTGATCCACAGAGCACTGGCTGGCAAACACTCCATTAGACAATATGGAGTGAGAAGTCAATTTGGGAATCAATTTCCAAGAATAGAAACAGGTCACCTCATGGAAATATGGAAAATGTTAGAGTGATAAGAACAAAATATGAAGAACCATGGAGGGAGAGGAGCAAAGAATGACATAAATGCCCTGTGAATAGCAGGTTATCATGTGGAAAATCCCAAGTGGGTTGGATGTTGAGGAAAATCACTATTTTCTAAAAGGGTACGAAGGCCCAATAGCAAGAAAGAAGCGATGAATTCAAAGTTCTGTCTTTCTGGAAAGCTCTGGAAAGTGGAATTTTGTACCAAGTGATAACACAGGCAGAGACACTGTAATGGCGAACAGGGAAGATCTGAAGAAAAAAACAGCAAACAAAATCAAGGAGCTGAAACCAGTTTGGCTCAGTGATAGAGCATCAGTCTGCGGACTGAAGGGTTCCAGGTTCAATTCCGATCAAGGGCATGTACATTGGTTGTGGGCACATCCCTGGTGGGGCGTGTGCAGGAGCTGATTGGTCGATGTTTCTCTCATCAAAGTTTCTGGCTCTCTATCTCTCTCCCTTTCCCTCTGTAAAAAATCAATAAAATATATTAAAAAAAAAAAAATCAAGAAGTAGCCATATCTGGTTTGCTGTGTACAGAGTGCCGGCCTTTGCGCTGAAGGGTCCTGGGTTTGGTTCTGGTCAAGGGCACATGTCCTGGTTGTGAGCTCAATCCCCAGTAGGACACGTGCAGGAGGCAACTGATCAATGATTTTTTATCCTCATTTGTGTTTCTATCTCTCTCTCATCCACTTACCCTGAAATGAAAACTTTAATAAGGGCAATATACACACACGATTTTCACAGCACAAAATTTATTGTGAATCTCCCTACTCTTGATGTTGCTGTGTATGAGATTCAGTTCAGAGAAATAGGGCTTCATAGAATTTCTGATAGTACTGTTACAGTTGAACAAGAAAATCTATATTTCGTGCATATCTAAGACCTTACTCCAATGTGAACTCCTCTGTTAGAAGTTTGGCTAAAAGATTTCCCTACGCTCATTAGACCTTTCTCTACTGTGAATTTTCTGATGAGAACCAAGGCAATATTTGGTGGTAAAAGACTTCCCACACTCACCACACACATAAGGCTTTTCTCCAGTGTGAACTCTCTGATGACGACGCAAGCTACTCCCACTGATAAAAGATTTTCCACATTCATTGCACTCATAAGGCCTTTCTCCAGTGTGAATTCTCTGATGACGACGGAAGCTATCACTACTGGTAAAAGATTTCCCACATTCATTGCACTCATAAGGCCTTTCTCCAGAGTGAACTCCCATCTGATGGAAACGGAGGCTACTTCCACAGGTAAAAGACTTTCCACATTCACTGCACTCATAAGGCTTTTCACCTGTGTGAATTCTCTCATGATAACGAAGGACATTTTTCCGAGTAAATGATTTCCCACATTCATTGCACTTATAAGGACGTTCTCCAGTGTGAATTCTCTGATGACAATGGAAGGCATATTTCTGAGTAAATGATGTCCCACATTCACGGCACTCAAAAGGGTTTCCTCCAGTGTGAACTCTCTGATGATAACGAAGTTGATAGGTAGTGTCAAAAGATTTCTGACATTCACCACACTTATAAGGCCTTTCTCCAGTGTGCAATCTTTGATGATAATTAAGATAAGCAATACTGGTAAAAGATTTCTCACATTCATTGCACTTATAAGGCTTTTCTCCAGTGTGCAATCTCTGATGATTACGTAAGCGATTACTATTGACAAAAGACTGCCCACATTCATTGCACTTATAAGGCTTTTCTCCAGTGTGGACTCTCATTTGATGGTAACGGAGGCCACTTCTAGAGGTAAAAGATTTTCCACATTCGTTGCACTCAAAAAGCCTTTCTCCAGTGTGAACTCTCATCTCATGGTAACGGAGGCCATTTCTACAGATAAAAGATTTTCCACATTCATTGCACACAAAAGGCTCTTCACCACTGTGAATTTTTTCATGACGACGAAGGACATATTTCCCATTGAATGATTTTCCACATTCACTGCACTCATAAGGCCTTTCTCCACTGTGAACTCTTTGATGAGCACGGAGTCCACTGCTCTGGGTATAAGATTTCCCACATTCACTGCACTCATAAGCCCTTTCTCCAGTGTGAACTCTCTGATGGCAATGAAGGGTATAGTTTTGAATAAATGATTTCCCACTTTCACTGTACTTATAAAGCTTCTTTCCATTATGAATTTTCTGATGTCGACAAAGGTAATGGATGCTGGTAAAAGATTTCCCACATTCAATACATTGATAAGGCCTTTCATTTATGTGATGGTAAAGGAGGCCAGTACTAGCAATAAAGGATTTCCCACATTCACTGTGCTTATAAAGCTTTTTTTCTGCATGAAATCTCTGATGATAACAAAAAGTAGAAAATCGAGAAAAATATTTTCCACATTCACGGCAACTGAAATAAGCTTTTCCAGAAGGAACACCCTTGTCCCAATCACATATGTAGTTAGAGCCGATGGATTTATCACATTCTTTATTAGTAAAATAATTATTTTCCTCTTGATACGTCACCCTACACATCGAGATACCATTTGGCTTCTCACTGATCTGAGTAGCCATTTGCTGGAGATGTCCTGCCGTGCTAAGGATGTCCTGCCCCACCTCTCCACAGCTAAAAAGCTTCTGAAACACATTAAAATTGCAGCCCTCTTCAAGTGAGACCGAGTTCACACCTCTTATCAAAGGCTTTTCTCTCAAGTACTGCTGCTGGTGAAATAGTGCACTGAAATAAAATTGCTTTGCACATGTTCCACACCTCAATAGAATCTGCCTGTGTTGTAATTCCTGCTGATGAGTCACGTGGAAAATGTTTCTCAAAACTAGTCCGCAACTTTCACAAGGGTGGCTCTTCTGGGAAGACAAAGCTAACTTGGGATTCCTTGCCTGTGATACTCTTACAGAAATGTTCTCTTCAAAAGGTGCCTCCACATTCTCTGCTCCACAGCAGCAACCTGAACAAAAGGAAACACAGGTGAAGTACATGATGACTTTAGAAGGAAGAAATACCCTCACCTCAAATGTGTATCTGTCACAGCTAGGCATGAGTGTATGGGATGTTTTTCAAGACCGGTGAGTTACATCCTGAGGAAATGGCTGTTATACATTATTTGACCCCTAAGGTCAGTCAATGGTAGAGACCTTACCAAGGAAGGGATATGAACATAAGATGGGACAGAAACAAGAGGTGCAGGGCCCACTAGTTGTTCCTCTACAAACAGCTTTCTGTAGGACCATTCAAACTGATGATGCAGTCTATGTAGAACAATGTGAATGTGCCCAAACATATTAAAACCCATTGCGTTACAGAGCATGATGTATATGGTTAATACTGTATGTGGCACAACAAACTCTAAAGGTAAGGACAAGATTGGAGTGCAGTAAACAGAAACCTAGATGGGAAGCTGTTGAGATACAAAGTTTAGAGAGGTACAGATTATCCATAAGCTTATGGATAATGCTAGAAACCTAAGTAGAAATAATAACGATTAGAATTGAGTAGTTTAGCCATGGATAGTGTGGCTCAGTTGGTTGAGCGTCATCCTTCCCATGAAGGGATTGCTAGATTAAATTCCTGTCAGAAAAAACCCAGGTTCTAGGTTCAACCAACATTTGGCCTGCATACAGGAGGCAACCAATCAATGTTTCTCTCTCTCTCCTCTCTCTCTTTCACTCTGTCTCTCTCCCCGCCTTTGTGACTAAAATAAAGAAAAACATTTAGCCAAAACCGGTTTGGCTCAGTGGATAAAGCGTTGGCCTGCGGACTGAAAGGTCCCAGGTTCGATTCTAATGCCCCTTGGTTGCAGGCACATCTCCAGTAGGGGGTGTGCAAGAGGCAGCTGATGGATGTTTCTCTCTCATCGATGTTTCTAACTCTCCATCCTTCTCTCTTCTTCTCTGTAAAAAATCAATAAAATATATTAAAAAAAAAAAAAAAAAAAAAAAAAAAAAGACAAAGAGCAATGTAAAAGAGCAAAATATAAGCAGTAAGAAGAAAAAGCTCCCCAAAAACAAAAGCCTGAGTCTGGACAGCTTCACAGGGGCTTTTACCAAACATTCTAAGAAGAACTAACATCTATACTCCTCAAACTATTCAAAAAAAATCCACAAAGGAACACTTCCAAGCTCTTTATATGAGTAAAGCAGTATCCTAATTCTAAGACGAGATAGAGACACTTTAAAGAAAGAGAATTATAGGCCAATATCCCGGATGAACACTGATGTTAAAATTCTCAACAAAATATTAACAGATACATATTAAAAATATCATATACCATAATCAAGTGGGATTCATTCCAGGGATGCCAACTGGTACAATATTCACAAATCAATAAATGTGACACATCACATAAACAAAAAACACATGATCATATCAACAGACGAAGAAAAAGCATTCTATGAAATCCAACACCCGTTTGTGATAACAGCTCACAGCAAACTGGGAATACAGGGAGCATATCACAATATGATAGAAGCTATATATGCAAATCAACAGTCATCATCATAATGAATGGGCAAAAATTAAAACCATTTCCCCAAAGATAAGAACTGGAACCAGATAGGGATGTCTTCTTTCACCACTCTTGATTCAACATACTACTGAACTCCTAACCACAGTGATCAGACAAGAAGAAATAAAAGGCATCTATACTAGAAAGGAAGAAGTAAAACTCTCATCATTTGCAGATGGGATGATATTATATATAGAAAAACAGAGCCGGGACCGGTTTGGCTCAATGGATAGAGCGTCAGCCTGCGGACTGAAAGGTCCCAGGTTCAATTCCGGGCAAGGGCATGTACGTTGGTAGGGGGTGTGCAAGAGGCAGCTGATCGATGATTCTCTCTCATTGATGTTTCTAACTTTCTATCCCTCTCTCTTCATCTCTGTGAAAAATCAATAAAATATATTAAAAAAACAAAACAAAACAAACAAACAAACAAACAAAAAAAACCAGAAAGACTTCACCAATAAACTATTAGATTTAATAAATGAATTGGGCCCTGACCGGTTTAGCTCAGTGGACAGAGTGTTGGACTAGGGGCTAATGGGTCCCAGGTTCGATTCCAGTCAAGGGAATGTACCTTGGTGCAACAGGCAGCTGATAGATGTTTCTGTCTCATGGATTTTTCTAACTCTCTATCCTCTCTTAAAAAATTCAATGAATATGTTTTTAAAATAAAAAATATAAATGAATGAATTGGGCAAAATCAACAGGATACAAAATCAACACCCAGAAGTTGACGGCTTTTTCATACACCAAAAATGAATTCTCCAAAAGAGAAACTAAACAACAATCCCATTTACCACTGCAAAAAAATTATAAGATACTTGGGAATAAATGTAACTAAGGAGGCAAAAGACTTGGAAAACTACAGAATGTTGAAAAAAGAGATAGAAGGAGATAAAAACAAGTGGAAGAATAAATTGAGTTCATGGACTGGTAAAATGAACATCATTAAAATGTCCATAATGCTCAAGGCAATCTACAGATTCAATGCAATTCCTACTAAAATACCAAAGGCATATTTCACAGACCCAGAACAAATTTATACGGAATCAAAAAGACCTGCAGCAGGAAAAACTAGGTAGGCCATGAGTGGTTTGGCTCAGTGGATAGAGCGTCCGACTGCAGACTAAGGGGTCCCAGGTTCCATTTTGGTCAGGGGCATGTACCTTGGTTGTGGGCACATTCTCAGTGGGAGGTGCAGGAGGCAGGTGATCGATGTTTCTCTCCCATCCATGTTTCTAAATCTTTATCCCAATACCTTCCTCTCTGTAAAAAATCAGTAAAATATGTTAAAAAAGAAAAAGAAAAACTAGGTCAGAGAGATCATAATACGTGATAAGTTTTACTGCAAAGCCATTGTACTCAAAACAGGCTGGTACTGGCAGAAGAACAGGCATATAGATCAACGGAACAGAACAAGAGACCCCAAACCTGACCCAAGCCATTACCCTCAATTAATTATTGACAAAGAAGGCAAGAACATTCAGTGGAGTCAAGACAGACTCTTCAATAGATGATGCTGGGATAATTGGACAGATACATGAAAAAAAATAAAAATGAAACTAGACCACCAACTTACACCATACTCAAGAATAACCTCAAAATGCATAAAAGTCTTAAGTGTAAGTCATGAAATCATAAAAATGCGAGAAGAAACCATAGTCAGCAAATTCTTGGACATCTCTCGTACCAATATTTTTACAGTTATATCTGCTAGAGCAAAGGAAACTGAGGAGAAAAGAAACAAATGGGACTGCATCAAAATAAAAAGCTTCTGCACAGCAAAAGAAACCATTGTGGTAAATTGAAAAGGTAGCCCACTGCAAGGGAGAACATATTTGGCAATAATACATCTGACAAAGGGTTAAAATCCAACTTATAGAAAGAACTCCTACTTAACAAAAGGAAAGCAAATAGTCCAATTAAAATATGGGCAAAGAACTTAAATACACACTTCTCCCAAGTGGTGATATGGATGGCTAAGACATGAATAAATGCTTGAAGTTACTAACCATCAGAGAGATGCACATTAAGACAACACCTGTCAGAATGGCTACCATGAAAAATTCAACAGCCCTAATCGGTTTGGCTCAGTGGATAGAGCATTGGCCTGCAGACTGAAGGGTCCCGAGTTCAATTCCGGTCAAGGGCATATACCTTGGTTGTGGGCACATCCCCAGTAGGGAGTGTACAGGAGGCAGATGATCGATGTTTCTCTCTCATCAATGTTTCTAACTCTCTATTCATCTCCCTTTTTCCTTGTAAAAAATCAATAAAATATGTTTGAAGGAGGAGAACGAAGAGGAGGAGGAGGAGGAGGAGGAAGAAGAAGAAAAAATTCAATAAAGAAAAAGTGCTGGTGAGGATGTGGAGAAAAGGGAATTCCAGTATACTGCTGGTCCAAATGCAGACTGGTGAAGACATTATGGAACAGCATGGAGTTTCCTCAAAAAATTAAATATGAACTGCCATTTGACCCAGTGATCCTACTTCTGGGAAAATATGGTTAGAAACCCAAAACATCAAACAGAAACAATGTATGCACTCCTAACTCATAGCAGCACAATTTATATTAGCTAACATCTGGTACTAGCCCAACTGCCAATCAGTCGTTGAGTGGATAAATAGCCGTGGAACGTGTACACATGGAACACTATGCAGCAGTAAAAAAAGAAGGACCTCTGGCCTTTTGAGACAGCATGAAGGGATCTAGAGAATATTATCCTAAGTGAAATAAGCCAGCCAAAGAAAGAAAAGTATCACATGATCTTACTCATATGTGGAATCTAATAAACAAAATAAACTGATTAACAAAATAGATCCAGAGACATAGAAGCATGAGACAGACGATGGAATCTCAGAGGGAAGTTGCTGGTGTGTAGGTGGGTGAGAGGAGAAAACCCAAAGCACTTCATTTCATATATGCATAACTCATGGACTCAGACAATAGGGTAGTGTATGCCTAGCGCAGGGTATGTGGTAGGGCTACTAGGGGTCAATAGGGAAGTAAATCTGACATATGTAATATTTCCAACAAGCTAACCTAATAATAGAAGAATATGCAAATTAATCACCACGCTGCTATATAAACCACACCCACCAGCCAATCAGAGTGTGTATGCAAATCAACTCAACAGATATGGTGGTCAATTTGCATATGCAGAGGGAGGGAGGAGTGAAGACTGAAGACAGCATAGATGGAAGAGGGAGGGAAAGTAGAAAGGAAGACGGCTGCAGCTGCTGGAGGGAAAGCACTGGCAACACGTGTGGGGCAGGGTGAGGTGTGCAGGGGTGGCGCATGCAGGGGCAGGAGGCAGTGGGGGCAGTAGGCACGGCGGGTCGGGTGGGCAGGGCGCACAGCAGCAGCAGGCATGGCCCCAGAGGCGGCAGCAGTGGGCTTGGCCACAGAGGGCCGGGCATGCAGGCCGAGGTGCGCTGTGGTGATG